ACCAAAGGCTATATGAGAAAAGGAACCACAAATATCTCAGCCAATACCCTGGCACATATAGCATCAATAGAAACTTTCCGTAGTTAAAAATGTAAACCTCAAGCTACATGTTGGATGTTGTTATTCTCCCTCAATATTGTCCCAAACTACAAAGATACGGTGAAAAGTTAGCTCCCAATAGTCGGTAAGTTCTACCTATGTCTCCACTCAAGTGCATGAACTCCATTTAGAAAAAAGTATGCATGCCCACACAACTTTAAAGATAACTATTGCTTCCTAAGTTTTCTGCCTATTATAATACAAAAGGTTGCTACCTATCTAAATCTAACAAAACAGCATCCCAAATACCAACATATGAGGTGGATGAGGATTGAAGAATGATGTGGAATATACTACAAAAGCAGAAGAACATCCCTCTTTCTAATATTTTTTTAAAAGAGCAACATTAAAAACATGGAAATAATCTCTAATTTCAATATTTAATAGCGGTTACAGAAACAAACAGCGCTACAGCTGCACAAGGAGGATAAAAAATAAGACTTCTTTTACTTTAAAGAAGTATTATTGGAGAAAGGAAATAATAAGTCTCAAATTTTACTAGGGCCAATTCAGCCTATGGCAGCTGGATGGTTTCTTAAGCTAAATCGGGAGAGCTTATTCTTGGAAATGGGATTTTTTTTAAGGCGATAGTTCTTGGAAATGGATAGAGAGGATCTTGTCTGACTTTGCAGTGTTGTTTCATTTTTTTTTTTTAAATGAAAAGTATGGTATGTCAAGTCTTGTTTTATTTAAGATGAGCAGCGATAGTCAGATTAGCTTTGCCAAGAATCAGGATCCAAGAATTAGCGATTCTTTTAAAGTGTACAGTGGGGAAATCTGTTTGGAGTATCTGTCTCGTACAGAACCTCAACAATCAGGAGATCAGTAATCGTATTTCTCTCTGTATGGAAGCTTTCCAAACATGAGATGTTCTACGTCAGATCCTACTACACCCATTTGATGACTCCTAGCTCAATTCTTTTGGAAGATAAACTTGCCGATGGAAATCTTAATAATTGACTATCTTTTGAAAAGAGTCAAATTTCTGGTAAATAGATGCTTCCTAGAACTAAGAGAGCGAATCCCCGAGCCATCTTCTCCAACATCCTGAAATTAGGAGATTGTGTGATTCGTCCCTCAACTCCCATCTTTGTTGGGCTACTAGGGGCTCCATCAAAGATGAATCTTGCGCTTGGGGTGGAATTCCAACAACAAAAACTAAGAGCAAATTGTTGACCCCTATCCCCCCGGGTTATTTTTTGGGATTTCTGGAAAGAAACAATAGACCCTTGGAAAATTATCACCTCAGCTTTTGCTTCTGCTCAGGAACACTAGCTTAAGACGCTCTATATTTTGTTTAAGAGCCATCCTTTTCAAGACAAGATTGATATGATTGATCTATATGATATCTTCTCCTTTAGAGAATTCTAATCCTTTGTACATAGGCCCTTTTTTGGTCGGATCTTTTTATAATTATTTGATTAAGAATGAAGCTACAGAGACCAATTTTCCTTTTCGACAAATCTGGGAGTCAATGCTCCAGCCAGA